TAGGTGCAACTTGACCACTCACTATATTCTCCCGTGCAGGTATATTCCTTACCGTTGCATACCAATGTACCACCACATATTAGACAGTTAGCAAGTGGACCATAAAACAGAATGTCTTGGCTGCTTACAGAAAAAGGGATAGAAAGAAGACAGTATAAATTAAGGCCAAGAAACTGCTTCCAGATAATCTTGATGCATAGCTATTAATAGTCATATACTGCTAACATAAAAAAAAGTGCAGGTCTGACATAATGAGTTTATGTCAATGATGAAAATATATTGTTATTTTCATCTAGAAATGGAACCTTGCTTACCATATGGGGACAACAGCATCATCCAAACCAGAAGGATCTTGGCCATTTGCTTCAAGTATTCCGCGCATTTGTTCGATAGACAGATGCTCCCTCGTAGCTTTACAGAACTTGTCGAAATCTGCTGGCATCCCAGAAGTTGTTTTTCCATTATTCCGGTCATTGTCATTCTCTGATTTCGCCTTCTTGGGCGACTGCCCTTCCTCGTGCCCTTTGCTCTCTGCCTTCTGTTTCCTTGTTACCATTCTATCCTCCTCAGCAGGTTGATGAGCATGAGATCTTTTCTCATGAACCTAAATATGGACACATCAAACCACATTAACTAGGACCTCATTGTAAAAACGAGTTTTATCCATGCACGCCCGAAGTACAAAGAACAAGTTCCTTTTCAGTTCCTTTTTTTCTTTGGAAACATTTGCTTTGGAAAATCTGATGTACTAGTATTTGGTTTGAGGAATCCCCAGCAGGTGAGAAAAATGATGATACATACATTCCCTAGTCAGCTTTATTATATCATTTTCCCTTCAATTTTCTTATCCTTCTTGTTGGAAGTACCGCTAACCTACATACACGTTTGGCATTAAAGCTGAGGCAAAGTTTGGCCGTTTGTGTTTGCTAATTTTCGCATTTATAAAATAAAAGCCAAGACTACCGTCCATGTTAATTGCACAATTACACAAGAAGAAACCACCATCTCCTTTTCTAGCTTCTTCTTTTCGCCATGCAAAAAATGGATACTATTCTATAATTCAGAAAAAAAAAAAGATTTATACCACTAGACTATTCCGTCTTTCATTTGATTATTTGGCTATCTTGTTCTTATTTTTCCCCTAGAAGACGCACCATTTTCCAAAGAAAAAAAATGCTATAAAGAATAATAAATAACAGCTCAACTCTTTCGAGTTCCAAGGGCAAAATCAGCCCACTAACATATTAAAGTTACGGTTAATCATCAATATTTCTTTGAGAACCAACCATGTCTAAAGAAGCAAATTGAACAAAGAATCAGCAAGAACACAAACCTTCATCTTGAACCAGATTTTCTTTCTCTCGGTTTTGTGCTCAAATTCCTAACCAAGAAACAGCAAAATACAGAAAAAAAAAAAAAAAAAAACTGGTTTATCTTTTTCCTTAGAATCAGAACTTCAGGTAAAGAAAGTTTCTGTAAAACATTTAGTCCTAGGAAGGTACTCTTTTTCACTTCACCAACAAGCTGGTGTTGCATGCACACAGCTCAGTGAACAGACACGTACTCCAAACATGGGTTATCTGTCATCCCACATAGCTAACAAGTGTTGATGAGAATTGCATCGCTTGCCACGACTATCAACATTGCCTAAGGTGCGGACAAGTGTTGGTTTAAACCCAAAGAACTTTACCGTTCGCAAGAGTTCTTTATTAGGTTTCTGGGATGCATGTTGGTTTGATCTTTGTCAGATGCTTTAATTAATGCTACTAGATAAAAACAAGGTAATGGATGCAGGGCTAAGGTTTGTGTAATTCGATGTCTATCTTAAATTGTCCTGGGATGTTGGTTTAATCTTGGTAATGCTTAATTTATGTTACTAGATATAAAAACAGGATAATGCATGCAGGAGGACTTGGGATTGGGACTAAGGTTCGTAATTTGCATGCAAGAGTGCAGACAAAGGATGGCAAGCTAGTTTGTTTATTGTAGTAGCAATTCTTTTGACACTTGGCAGCTTCTGAAGTTGCTGAAAAAACCTATCGTGTCCACCAGATAGAATAGGGACTCGGGCAAGAACGTTCCTGAAGGTCACGTGCATTTTGCATACGACGTAACTCTATTTGTATACGATATAATTTATTTTCAATAACGTGTAATTCTATAACAAAATTTTGTGAATTTCACACATATTATTAAAAATAAGGTATAAAATGAAATCTGAACCTTACAATTTTTTTGGTTAAATCTTGGCCATAAACTGCTAAGAACGGAAGCAACCGTTCCTGCCCTCTTCCGATAGAATAACATAGATCTTGACGCTGGAGTAGGTAATGATGGAAGCATTAGGGCCACAATTATTAGATACAAAAAAATTCTTTTGGGGGTGCGCTTTAGACATCAGACTTAGAAGTAACAGAAGTTTCCTCTACAAAAACACCAAAAAAAAAAAAAAAAAAGAAAGAAGAAAAAAGGCAAGAGGATATGGGCTATAAGCCCTTGGCTAGTTTGAGAGCAAAGCCTTCTGACCCAAATTATGGGCAGCAACCGGGTAAGAAGTGATTGTTAAAGATGAATGATTTCAAGCTATGTAGACTTGATTTTTTTTTATCGACTGTGGGTATGTGGATCCGTGGACTGGTTACCGTACGATCCAACTAATCTCACTACGGGCTTGGGAGAGGCCTGCCCCAAGCATCACCAGTCACGGTAGAACTGGGATTCGATCCTTGGACGTGGCTCTCCCCCAACTGGGACTACAACCACGGGACCAAACCCGGAGGGGCAAGTTTTTTCATGTTACTATTTGATTATGTGTTAATAAAATCAGTCACTTACCAAAAAAAAAAAAAAAATGTCGGCACGGACATTTTATAGACAAATGAAAAATTAAAAGAAAATACTTGTGCATTATTAGTTCATAACAATTTATTCGACCATTTTATTTAGCCCTATGTTAGACGTATTATAACCCTAAAGGCTTTCCACAAATGGAAAGTTATTATCATTTTCTGTTAATGCTCCAAAATTCAGGTCTAAACTGGTGGGAGTTTGCATGTTTTAGAAAATAGGGTTTTTTTTAAAGCTCTAATCCCTCTCCATTAAACACAATGCCAAACTAAACCTTCATGGTGGATAAAGCAGAACTTTTCTGAGCTTTTTCAAGCTGGGATAACAATTTTGCAATGTCTATATAAGCCCTTGTGAAGAAGCCTGAAAGATAGTAGGTATATGTATCTTCCACTATTGCCTTCAAAACTATAAAAATTTGGAACTATTATTAGAACTGAAGCGTTTTATCTCAAAAAAAAAGGGAAATAACAACATCCTTTATCTTTTTATTGAATTTCAAATTACTACGGATGGTTTGATAAACACACAGAACTCTACTAATTAACATGATTTGAAGTTCTGGAATAAAGTTTTTAAATTAACCCTAAAATAATAAAATCCTGTCTAGGAAGTCCTTCTATTTTCTTTCTTTCTTTCTTTTTTTTTAAAAAAAATGAACCATTTAAAATTGCTCTTTACGATCAAAAGATAAAACTCTTCTGCAGTAATTCAAACATCAACTAAAAAAGGTACGAGTCCTAGGACTAGTCCTATTGCTGATATATGTTTGCTCCTCCTTGTATGAACACATTATCTTGTATGCATATAAGAAGCTTGGAGAAGGTGAGTCCCCCCTCTTTCCACACTCGACAAAGCATAGTGGGGGGGATCCCCATCCCCCCTTGACCCTCATCTTCAAAGTGCAATCGACTTTTTCCATTTTCACTGCACACCTTTGATTTCATCTAAGTCAAGCCTACCCCATAAACAAAGTACGTACATACATTCGTGTATTCAACTCAGAAGCTTATGGGGATGACACATTTTTTTCTATTAAACACCAAAATTCTTCAAAGATTTTCCCTAAATTATTGACCTAAAATCAACTCCTGCTGCCTTTTTCCGCAATCTTGCATTTGTCTAACACGTTTTATACAATCAAAGCAGTCTAGGCAATAAGGACCAAAGAATTCACGGAAAAGTTAATCTTTTAAAGTAATAATAATTCCCTTGTAAAGATGTCGTTTACCTTTTTCTCTGTTTTTTTTTTTTTTTTTTCCATTTACGTGTTGTGCCTCCAAGTTGGACTAACTTTTTTCTCATAATAACTTCTCCAACTTACAAACCGGAGCAGTGAATAAAGAAATCGCGGAGAAGGGAAAAGAAGGAGGAGAGGAAGAAAAGTAGTGGCGCTGATGCCGGCTTGACTTGCCAATTGGCTATAGTATTTGTCTCATTTTTCGGTAAAAAAGTGATGTAAACTTTATGTTCTACCTTCATTGCTTGGAATTATTAATGGTGCTTATAACATGGGGCAGGACTGTTCCCTAATCATATTACACGCCTTAGGATTTCCTGGTGGCTGACTTGTGTTTGTATGCCAGGAGGTAGCCCAGTTCTATGATTCTACCAACAATCCAAGTTAGAACTTTGTACAATTATCATAGTAACTTGTCTGGTTGTTAATTAGTCCTAATGCTGTTTGAGTTATAATCAGCATCACCACAGCGTGTTACTTGTAATCCATACCCAATCAAGAATCTAGCTACTAGTATTCATAACAGTTACTACTAATTCAGGATTATTATCTCTCCCAAACCTATTGATATTTAAATATGTGCGCCCCGTGTTTAATAGCATTGTCAGAAGAAACTATTTCAGGAAGTTGAAATGTTTCTCCAAAATTAATTATACAAGTTTGGTACTATTTTGAGTTTTACAAGTATATATAATTCTCATATATAATCACAATGTATATATGTATATGGTGCTATGTGAGTTACTTCTTTCAACAAATGTACACCAAGTTTATTTATGATACCATATATTTTGAGTGTTAACGAGACAATGCATGGTTGTGGGAAGAAAGTGGATAATAATAGCACATCATGGTACTACTACGCAAATCCAGATATTGAAAATTACAAGGTAGCCATGAAGCTGGTAGCTTTCCATCAAGAACAGTACCCACAATGGCTTACATGCATAATAGAACGATGGAAAAGCATTGGGATTACAATTTAGCAATGAAGCTGACAAATTTTCTCCATGCCTCACTAGTACAGAATCTTGATCATCAAAACAAAAGAAGAGAAAATTCATCTGCTTCACCACTTCAAGGCAATCACCAACAACAGTCCAAATGTCTTGCAAGAAAATGATAAAAATTCACATGATGGGATTACAAATTAGCAATGAAGCTGACAAATTTCCTCCATCCCTCAATTACTACTGTACCTTGATCATCGTGAACAAAAGAAGAAAATTCATCTGCTTCACCACTTCAAAGCAATCACCTTATTATGCAAACCCGAATATCAAACCGTGCATATACGTACATAAAAACATTCATAAACACTACTCACCCCATAGAAATTGGTCAAGTGCTCCATAACAAACCGCCCCCTATATGCTTCCTCCAATGGCAGTCAATCGAGAATTTTTTGTTATTGAGCAAATGCCTGTTGGGAGAGAGTGAAGAGAGAAAACCCTCAAAGAAATACTATATAGAGGGTCCCCGACTTTCATCTTTTTTTTTCCCTTCTTCTTCTTGAGAATTTCGAAATGTGAAAAACGATTTTTTTTTTCAAAAAAAAAAAGCCTTCATGGTATGGTTAATACTGAGCATTTTCATCTTCAGAGCCACCAGTGATGCATTCCTTTTCATCTTCAAAGCCTTCAAGAGAAGGGTGTGGAGAATGACCGTTTCCGAAGGATCTTATATGATCCTTTAATGATCTTTTGTGTTTAAAATCAGAGCCACAGGTGCAATACCATAATTTCCCACAATTCTTCTCATGTGTCCTCCAATCTCCTTTGACTGCAAAACTTTTGCCACATTTTCTACAGTTGAATGGCTTTGCTCCATGCTTTCTCTTGTAGTGAGTTTGAAGGGTTCTGAAGTCTTTCAATGGCTTTGCTCGAGGATGATTGATGTTGTTTTTGCAGCCTTGTGCACAGCAATAGCAAGGAAGCCTAAGCATCGCTGCTGTTGTGCCCCTCTTAGGGACTCTGGACCTTTTCTAAATTCAGAACCATGACCCCACATGTGCATCTGCATCAATAGAAATTTACTCTTACATTTGTACTCCAGATGATCAAATGGTAGAAAACTATTTTTGCACAACTTTACCTTCTAAAGTATACATTTTGGCTTTTGTAAAGACAACAATAATGTGTACAGTCGAAAAAGTTGTTTTTATCGTTTTCAATACTTTAGATTCATTAGGCATCCCATGAATTAAGATGTCGTTAGATATAGGCTAAAGTGAGATAATACACATTAAAGAATTTATGGCTGTAAAATGTTATAAAAATAAAGGATTAAGGTTAAGAACTTCCTAGGACGTTAAAATTGGAGTAAATGAATTTAGGTTTTTTTTTTTTCCTTTGGATTGACGGATCTTTCTGTTATTAATTGTATTTGGCATCCATTTTCAAGTAGAAAAATGATGGATAGGCCACTAAAGTCCAAATGTCAAGAAGGGTACCATATTCTTCCATCTTAGCAATTGCCTTTAGTCACTAGACTCTGAAGAATTTTTAGCATATATGACATTAAGGACAATGGAATCAAAAATTATAAAGCCAAAAAAACCACAAGTGTTTCTACAACATTTTTTGCAACAATAAATAAGATAATAGACATCTGTGTGTAACAAATGCTCATATTTGTTGTTACAATTGGAGAATGCAAAAGAAAGACATAAAGAAACGTCATTGACCCAAAAAAATTTATAGGTTAGGATTTATCTGTATCAATTCAAACCAAATATTGAACTTAAAAAAAGATTAATTTCCTTTACTGAAATAGTTTGACATATGAGATGAATAATAACAATAATAATAATAATAAAGAGAGAGGCTAAAAATCAGGAAAATTGAATGAAGGCCTGTGCTATATTATTATTCGTAATAGTACTAGTATAGCACGTATGGAAGCAAAAATGAAAAAAGAGAGAAAAAGCTAAATCAGTTCATAAAAATGGTTTCAAAAATTTTTAACCATCCAATTGGAGAGAGAGAGAGAGGAAATCTTTTGTTGCAGAAGAATAAGAATATTAATAACTCATAGTCGTATTTCTATGTGTGCTAATTTGGGGATTCATAGCATAGTCGAATTTTACTACTAGACAAGAAGTTGGAAATTGAAGATTGCAATCCCATTTCTTGCTTAGTTCACATTTTAATATCGTTCTCTTATCATCTTGAGGATTCAACATATCAATTCCTAGATCGAAAGAAAGCTTTGGAGGCTAAAAATTCTCCTTCTGAAACCAAGAAAAGGGGGGGGGGGTGTGGGGTTTGCGGGGTTGGTTGTGTTCCATTGCCGTTTGTTTCCATGAAATTCCAAAGGAAGAACCAAAAAGCCAAAAAGGACAGTACTATTAAGAATAAAAAACCCCCCACAGAAGAAATGAGAGCTAAGGCCACAATTTTTGGAATCGGGAAGTGGGCACACATATTGCAATTTCAATTCCCACCTCAACCCAAAGACTTTCCCCACCGGGATCGATCTTCATCCATAGAAAGCAACCATTGCAACCACGTCCAAATCACAAAATTTCCATCCTGAGGCCTAGAATAACCATACACTTTTCCTAAATTTCGTGAGCTAGTTTGGAAGCACAGACCATGGAAAGCTCGAAAGTCCATTCTGCTGTAGGTCTGCGGTTTATAGCAAACATCTGGTTGCTCTTACACGAGAAAAAAAAAAAAGTATTCGACCCCAAAAAATTAAAGGTGTAGGAGGAGGATATATGAGAAGAAGAAAAGCACACGGAGTAGGATAAAACGTCTGGCTCAAATCCTGCTTGCTAGAAAGAGGAAACAAACGAGTACTAGATAGCCGATTATAAGATGAAAAATGACCTTATAGTTTCCCATGAAACATGTTTCTTTTGCTTGTTTACAAACCAGACTTTCTTATATGGCCGGCAGATTTCTATTCACAGTATTGGCTCTTTCTTCATGCATGGAAATAAAATAACATATTTATATAGTTTCAAAAAACCATCATGGAGAGTGCATATAAGTAGTGAGTGCCCATCAATTGTATAATTTTGTGAAGGTGAAAAATCAAGAACCAATCCCCAGGAATAAAAAATAAAATTCACTAACCTGCATATTATTGTACCTATTGAAGGTCTTGTTGCATATGTTACAAGCAAATTGCATTGGTCCAACAAGGATCTGTGCTGGTGTTGGGATCCAAAATCTACTCTCATTGTTGAAAGTACAACCGTCAGTACTAGGACTCTTCTGATAATTATCCACAGGTTTTTCCTTCAAGTTGTAGGGCTTTGTCTCACTATCAGAAGAAGCACTACCTGAATCAGGCAATCCTATGTGAAGGGCAACTGTTACTTTCTCAACCTTATCTGATCCCTTGATTCCAAATATACTCTCTTCTTGCCCTATTCCATCTCATCTAATTCCTCTTTCATGGTTTTTTCGTGTCGGTGAACTGGCTAAGAAGAGGCAAGCATTGGATGGATTCATGAACTGCTAGCTCTTCTTCTTGTTGCTGATAAAAGAGAGGAAGTTTCAAGAAACTCATGGGATTTGTGAATTGATCAAGGAATTCTTGTTGAGTACTTAAGGTGGATGAAGAAGATGAAGATGAAGATGAGGAGGATTCATGCGTTGGCTTGAGCCACTCAATGAAGGTTGGAGCTGCCTGAAAGCACATATTCATGTCTTGGACATGGCAGTTTGTTGTTCTAATTCCCATCTTTGGAGAACTCATTTGAAATCACTACCTCTGAAGGCTTATATGTAGAGACCTATGTGTGAGAAAAGCTTACACTTGAGGTTGATATACAAAAGGCAAAAGGTGGTTTGGTTTGTCTTTTTGGAAACTTTTTCCACTTCTCACCATTCTTTTCTCCTCTGGCATTTGCACAGAGAGAGAGAGAGAGAGAGAAGGGTGAGAGGGATTTAACACACACACACACACATACACATACTGAGATTAGTGGTGGGGTTAAAGAAAATGACATGCAAATATGTGGCTCACTATATGAAGAGAATCCTAGAATAGTTCAAACAAAATCCAATTTGTAGCAAGTCAGGTTATTGGCTGTGAGTTAATTTAGAAATTCGATACCTGTGTAAATCCATAATCAATCAAAAGCAAGAAGTATTTGGGATGTTATCAATAAGTCAATATTACATCAAAAACAAGTAAAAGACGGAGAGGAAGTATTAGTATATAGAAGATGCACACACACAAGCATGTACCTCAATTGAAACATGAAAGAAATCAGTTACTTTATCATGTTAGACTTTTGGGCAAGATTTCAGTCAAATTCTTCTATAACATCATGAATATAGACTAAATGGTTTACTTTTGCTTGTAGTTCATTAAATGTATTTAACTATCCTTCATTATGCGTCATATTTAATTTCTCTAAAATCAGTTGTAATGTACCTTTAATTCCTTATATGTCCTTGGACTGGACTATTCTTTTACAACCTTCCATCATCATCATCATCACTCTCTCTCTCTCTCTCTCTCTCTCTCTCTCTCTCTCTCTCTCTCTCTCTCTCTCTGGTTAGAACAGCTCCCCATCTCAAAAAAAAAAAAACTTAAAAAATTAAAAAAAAAAAAAGCGCCCTTTCACCTCTAAGTGTCCAATATGCCTCTAGAACTGGATTTTGTTTGGCTGATGAATTTGGTAGGTATGCTTAGTCATTGATCATAATAATATCATCCATTGTATTGCATGTTAAGTCAAAAGATAAGAACAAGTACCTCCAATACCTAACGAAAACTGTTGGGATATTAACCAAACAATAGTAAATTTGTTGGTTTAACCTCAAGTTCACTTCTTTCCACATTTTTTTAAACATCCCTTAAAAAAATCAAGAAAAAGAACCGCTTGTATCCCTTAAAAATAAATTTGTTTAGTTGATTCCCAGTGGATGAACGAAGACATGACAAGAGATAGCTCATTTTCACTCTTTGGCTCTGAAAAAAGGTCATCCATAAAGATTCCTTTTTTCGTTGATTAATCTTTCCTGGGCAAGTGCATTAAAATTTCCCTTCTTTCACAAGGTAAAAACACGTCAACTCTCTTATTTATTACTTGTGAATTAAAATTTTATTTAGCAGCACCCAAAAAAAAAAAAAGCATTTTATTGGAGATACAAAGTAAATTTTTTAAGCTTTTTTTTTAAAAAAAAATCTGGCTCAAGAGCTTAGACATCAAGTTTATTTACACTGATATGACCTCAAATCAGTTTCTTCGAAGCATGATCAAAAATTTCTGATTCAAGCTCAATGCCAAAGGAATTCTGATAACTCGCCATAATTGCATCTGGAATCTAAATATCACTATTCTTGCTAAGTACACCACTTTTCCACTTAACAATTTTTAATGTCTTAATCAATGCCTAATGTAAGAATCAGGAATAAAAAAGTTCACAGAATTTATACTATCCGCAGAGGAAAATTTGAGCGTTGTTTTTTTTTTTTTGAGGAAAAAAAAATGTCCAAAAATCACGTGTTTGACCAGAAAATGAAACCACGACTTTTAGTTGGGGCTTGAAGGGAGAAGATACCAAAATTTTCTGTCCATCACCAAATCCATGGAAACAACTCAGGATTTCAGTGTCCAAAATCTACACATTGCTTCTGTTTATTTTGCTTGATCATGTTTTGACATAATTTTTTGTCATGTTTGACAATCCCATGACATCTGGTGCCAATAATTTATGATTCTAGATTGACGTGTTTGTAGATAATAAAGCTTTAGCTCTTGTCAACAAAACTCGTACAAGATTTGTAGGTACCCTCCAAAAGGGCAAAGATAGGATCTGCCTCGTGAACATATTATTGAAATTGTCATCCAGTAAAATGTCGCCTCAACAGGCTACGAGATCTCATATTGATTCCCATTATTCGTCAAGGTTCCAAATCTTTCTTTCCTCTTTCTTTTTCTTCAATAGGTCTCCTTGCAGCTGGCTTGAATGGTTATGAACAATGCCCAAAAGGTGGAGATATTTATTTTATCCAATAATTATGCTTAACGTGTGAACCTGTGGAATTAAAAGGTTTGGAAGATGTCAACAAGCCAGTCTCCAAGGCAACAAACAAACACAAAGTTTGAGTTTGATAGCAGCGTACGGATGAATTGTTGATCTTTGAAAATAATTAACACAAAAGTAATTATTAATTCTTTTGCTTTGACTCTAAATTGAACTTTCTTTTGGAAGCCATGTTTTGAAGGAAAAAGTGTAAGAATAAATAGATTATATATATATATATATATATATATATATATATATATATTAAAGTACATATGGTACCATAGTGAGCGCAATTAATTGCAACCTATATCAAGCCATGGCAAACTCAATAATTATGTACACTAAGGAGGTATTTGGGTTAAATTCTTTGTTATGAATATGGGGTTTTACCTATTTGGTTGGAAATCCGAGTGTATTTTATTCTATTAGTGAATTGTTAGTGAATTAACAAAATTTAAAGCTCAAGCAATAAGTGGAGAATAATAATGGGCAAAAGTGCACATCATTTCTATTGAATGATTTTCATAGTGATTTATCAAACAATAGATATGTGGGATATCATTAACTCAAATATTCTTCTTGACCTTTGTGTCCATTACCAAACACCCCCTAAGATCATATAGCTAGCCCCAATATTTGAGACCTAAATACCTCATTAAGATACCTCATTAATACCTCATTAAGATTTTGACAAAAAAAAAAAAAACCTCATTAAGATGCAAAATCTTTTTATTTAGCTATAATTTCAAAAACAAATTAATTAAGGTGTCGAGAATGTAAACATTAAACATAGAAACATGAGTACATGCAAGCCTACGAAAAGAACTTGTGAAATATGAGTGCATTTCATCCAAATGACTAACCAAATGATGCTCTATAATCAATCCTTCCCTTGTAGCTTCACTCTATCTTCTCATTAATTCTCTAATTGATGCACTCTAGTTGAGGTTAATTAAGTGCTATGAATTATCCGACAAGACATCATGAAAGCGGATTTTAAGGAGATTAAAAAGAAGCTGATCTATCTCTATCGGCCTTTTAACCTTTTCCATTTGTATATTATTGGCACTGTGTATGATTCTCTCTGCAACCACCTCTTTTTCCCACTTTTTTTCAAACATAATACTTACCAGACATGTACCCTTTTCTGCTTTGTTTTTCAACCTTTCATACTTCCAATCAAGGAAACCAGGTCCTGACTTTTTGGCATTACATTTTCCCACCATCACTGCCCTCACAAATATCAAATAAAAAGCTTTTCTGCCCTTTGGGCCTACATTTGCCTCTATTCATCACAAAAAGGAAACCAATCCCAATCTGGCTAGCTTAAGAAAGGGTTAATTATCTTTTAGGCTGCCCTCAAAATTAATTAATAACCTTTTGTATAAAGAATAAATCTATGCTAAAGAGTCAATTATGAAGTGGTCGGACCAAGACAAAGGTGTCCATTGATGCATGGTCATGGCTAATTAATTTTTCCTGCTCTTTTTTATATCTTGATTTTTGAACTTTTTTCTTTGCATGCTAAACTATTTTTGCTTACAGAAGTTAAAACGGACTAGCTGCACAAAAAGAAATGTATTTCCAATAATTCTCAACTTCAGAGGACATAGTGAAAAAAAAAAAACTTCAGAGGGCATGTGAAGTTACAACACATCGCACTTAAATTGATATGAGCTAGTCATATTGTAGTTAATACTAGGATGCGCGCGGGTGTTTGTGCCTGTAGGGAACGAGATTTTTTTTATTAAACAAACAATAGTACATTGTGAGAAGAAATAAAATTTAGTACGAAAAGATAAACGATATAATCAATTAATTCACACAGAATTACAACAAAACTGTGTCAAATTGAAGGTCGTTGAAAATGCAGAAAGACAGAGCAACACATAAAGCTAACCTTATTCGAGAATCCCTACCGAGAGTTCTTTCTTGCTGTTGCTCCAAACCTATAAGATTATAACCAACCCAGACCAATTGGAGTTAGGCGACGAGAAAAATGCTATCTTGTAACTAGGCAACGCGATAAGAGTCGTTAATTGTAAGTACTAAGAACACATCGACAAAATTAAGAAAGGAACTGAAAAATTGTGAGGGCGAAATCTAATCTCACGCTGAACTACCAGGAGTAGCTGGGATTGAAAAGCATTCTGAATTGATTAGTATTAAGCCAGGTAAAATTATCCCAATCCTAGAATACAAACAGGGAGAAACTGATAATCAACCGTTTAGGTATTAACATACCAATGGTTCGGCAATTGAATTGGGTGTAATTAATGACGAAATAATAGGTAATTTCAGAGTTGAACTCGGATGGAAGAGAAAACGATAAAGCAAATCATTGTAGACAAAGGCAAAAGGCGGAAAAACTTAACTCTTGAAATTGAAAGGGGATAAACTAACCAACATTTGTGGCTCATAAATGCAGATTATAAATGATAGCAAAATGGGTTCCTACCATTAATAGAAAAATCGTTGGCACATTTCCTAAATTCGATTGTCATTCAAACGTTTCAGACAAAACAACATTTCAAACAGTTATTTGCGACTGAAAAGGAGAATTATTGGTAGTTGAGGGATATTCCGCGTAATTATACCAACACACAAAACATATATGGGTTATACAAAATGCAAAACGGTTGTACACTAATTACACATTCCATCAATACCCAGATGGCTGATCAATGACAACTTTAAATGTATTAAATAAGGTCATTTCAGTAAACATACCCAAATACATGCTTCCTTAACTTGTACCTAAAGCTTTTAAACTAATACACAATATTTTACATTCCCAAAAACCCCCCACCTATGCGGTTGAAATTCAA